TCAGCTTTCCTGCTCCTCTGATGCTGCTTGGCCTGCTGTGTTCATCCAGCTCTACGCCTTGTTATCTCAGGTTCTCCAGCATCTGCAGTTTCTACTATCATGAGTTTTTGTTTTCTTTTTCTTTAGCCATTTCTGGGATGAGGGCGTCGCTGGTTAGGCAGCATTTATTGCCCATCCCTAATTGCCTAGAGGGCAGTTAAGAGTCAACCACATTGCTGTGGGTCTGGAGTCACATGTAGGTCAGACCAGGTAAGGAAGACAGTTTCCTTCCCCAAAGAACATTAGTGAACCAGATGGGTTTTTCCAACAATTGACAATGGATTCAAGGTCATCATTAGACTCTTAATTCCAGATATTTATTGAATTCAAATTCCACCGTCTGCCATGGTGGAATTTGAAACTGGGTCACCAGAACATTATCTGGGTCTCTGGATTAACAGTCCAGTGATAATACCATTAGGCCATTGTCTCCCCAATAAGTCCTGAATGTCGCAGTGGATTAAACATTGCCCTCTCACTTGGGTTGCGGATGAGGTTGTAGACTTGCTCACCTAGCCTGTGTGTTTGGTTGCAAACCAAGGCATATAAATAACAACAGGACAGAACACCAACATTTCACCAGAGGCACACTGACAATGTTACCTAGCCGGGTGATGAAACGTCTGCAACCAAACACACCGGCTCAGCGAGCAAGTCTACAACCTCAAAGCCCTCTCACTTTTGGGTTCAGATCCAGTCCAGTGTGAAGAAGACAAAAAGCTTCTCTGTTTCCAATAAGTCAATGTGAAATGTTTGTGCAATCCCATTCAACAGAATGCCACAAGTGCAGTATGGATGCACTTCAGAAGTTGGAGTCAAGGCCCAGTGCTTAGCTAAAGTGCAGAGTGAGTCTTACTCTACATTTTACTACGTGGTTGATTCTGGTCCTGGATGCCCAAAGAATGGAAAATACTCCATGTTTTATAATTGTAATTTTAAAGGTTATAGGGGATTTCTGTGGTCATTTGGGATAGTTAAGTGCAGCTGCCAGTTCCACCACATGCTATTACATCACTGAATGTAATTATACAAGTCCTTATTTACAGCCCTTTAGTATTGAGGAGGTGACTCTGCCATCTGTTCTTGGGGGTACAAACACAGATAAACAGTCCAGAAATAGAATTCTCCAAAACAGCTCAGAAGCCATGGGAATTCCTAAACAGAATCAACAGACGGAATCCCCAGCATCATACCGCAAAAATATCATCAAACTGGCATTTCTTATGACAGGTTGTTTTCCATTAAATAACTCCTTCTGGATTGTGATACTAATTTACTATCTTACCCAGAAAGTGTCAGTAGATTGGAATATTTAGACCATTTTCATAGTGTACTACATCTATTCTTTCTTGCAACTAATATATGAAGTAGACTGAAAATAAGCCTATTGAAACACCAGCATTATAGCATCGATAATAAGTTACTTAGAGCTGAATTCAACTAAGATCATTTTAGAAAGGTATTTGATAAACACTAAAAATTGACTACAGTGTTAACTGTCCGAATAAACATCATCCCTACATACAATATAAATATAGTTACAGACTGTTGTCCTCTTGAAGGAACTTAAAGCTTATTTCTCATATCAATGAACTACACCTCTGCCAAAGATTTTAACCATTTCTGAGATATTAATTTCCCCAAAACAAAACCACCTAATGAATTGTCAATGGATTATTTGACTGTGGGGAACAACAGTGTAGCAATCCTAGGACAGACTGATAACATTTTAAAAGAGATGTGAATTTTCCAGCAATTAGCACAAAGGACTGCACAACAAGATCAAGTTTTACAACTTTTCTACTGTAATAAATAAACTAAAATCAAAATCAACTATACATTACTTATTAAGTAACTGATGCACAAAACATTTGAGAATACACTGAAATGAAATGTAGTCTTGTGCTTAAACCTCTAAAGCCCTGCTGGTTTAACAGGATCTCTCCTCCTGTCTCACCATTCAGTTCTTCAATGTCCTTTAAAATTCAGTACCTTCACTCAATCTTCTGAACACAGTCGAATGGGCTTCCAGTAGCAAAGCACCCCTTGTAACTCCTTGGTCTTTAAATCTCCGTACAATTTGTCTCTTCAAACAGAGGATCTGTCTTCATCGTCACTCTGCTTGGTGGTTAAACCAAGATTAGTCCTTTTCCTCTCTTGGCTCAGCAGTGCCTATTGTGGATCATCTTACCTAAATCTCTGTCTCATTGATTCGAAGATTGAGAGTCTGTACTAGCAAAGCCAGATCTACATTCTTTGTGTCAAGGTGTCAAAACTTACACCTTACGAGAATCAAGTTTTGGCTTGAGTTTCTGTCTCCTTAACAAACAGACCACAGGGTTTATCTCGGGGCAGATTTCAGTGGAGATCAGACCCCCTTTGCCCAAACTGCTCCATTTTATCTTGGATGAATGAAGACAGTTTAAAAACGCTCTTGTGAAATTCAGCTTATGTAAAAACAGCAAAAGGCCAAAAGGATTTCACTCACATTGATATGAACAGCTTCTGATGTTCTCCAGGAAGAATCATTACAATTTTCTTTTTGATATTGCTCGCTCAGTGGCAATCTTATCACGCCACTCATGTTTGCTAATCCAGGGAATATCAGGGATCTAAAGCCTTATTGGCTTTAATAATTCATTTACATTTACATGTTCTGTCAATTTACCAGCAGAAGCTTTAAGAAATATTTAGAAAATGCAACTTCTGACTAACTAGTCCACTGTTCTCTGATATCTCCAAGGAATGGCAAGAGTGATAAGCCTGTTGCTACTGATACAACTTTGGAAAAGGATCCGTTTACAAGTGGAAGAAATCATGCTGCTGCAAATATCCTTGGTCCACCCACAATAAAAGTCAAGCTTTGGCAGAATACTTGCTTATCATTAGCATTCAATTGAAATGTAAAGGGATTCAAAGAGGATACCTCTCTGACACAGTCAAATTGTTTAATCGGCCACTCCATTGCTTAGAAATTGTGGACGAAATATTTCAAGATAATTTAATCATTTTAACAACATCTAAAGATAGCTCCATTTTTAATTGTTAACATGTCAGTTTGACTAATGGCTATTGCCATCCTGGTATATTGGTTATGATGTGGCTTCAGCTGCAGCTCTATTGGATTTAATACAGATTTGCTGGTCCTCGACACTGGAAATATGCAGGTGACAAGGACAGATTAAGTTGGAAAGCAAATCAAATTTCATAAAGACTTTATCTAAAATCTGCTCATACTAGGATCAATATTTCAATCACCTCTTTGACACATAGCCATTTCACACTATGTTAGCTGGCAATTTCTCCTGCAATGTCTAGTTGCAGGTTTTCCCTCTGTCAATGAAAGGGAATGCTCAATTAGAGTGTAAAATAATGGTTTCAATAAAGCGATTCAACATCAAAACAAAGAGAGAAGGGGCAATTAATAATTTGGACAGGAGTGAAAAAGATAAATCCTCTGCCATCTTTAACAAAGGGATGCCCATATGAATAAACACGGAAAAAAACTGCACGACTATACCAAAGCTGACATTGTACAACTTAAGGCAGCTCCTCAAAAGGCAGTAACATCTCACAATTGGTGAACTTGAAACTGTCATATAACTATGGAGTATAAAAGGAAACTGAATTTGATCTGCTTACCTCGGGTGTTAGTTGTAAGTCTAAGGCAGGTGACAATGTTTCCACGTCTAAGATTCTTTCTACTGCCTGAATCTGGATCCCTAGATCCTGAATACGATAGGGATAAAAGAGATAAATGAACAATTTAGAAAAAAAATAACCAGAATACAATTTCCACACAATAATCGTCTAATTTAATATTCTCGAGAAAATACTTAAAGATATTTAAATAACATTTGATTTCAATTGAGCGTAAGTAGTGACCTATCATTGAGAAGTCAAGTTTACCATCATAACAACTGCACTTGCATTCAAATAATTTCCTCCCATATTTCCATGCCAGGCTTCATCAGAGACACCTGGCAAGAATTTTTTCATGGGCTCCTGGACCTTGTTTGCATTCTCAAATCGGAGTCAGAAGCTACTGCTGGGATTTTAATTGTAAAAACTGGACTCATACTGCCCAATGCATTAATAACTTCCATCACGATGATGTCAGATCATGAACATGACAACAACTAGTTTCGCAAAATAATAGTCAAGTGACAAAATCAGCAGCTTGTGCCCTGTTTTAAGTTACTCATTAATAGGCAATTGAGCTTGTTGACAAGACAACTGACCCAATTCTCGGCCCACTCTATACCATAGGGGGAAGGTGGGTGAGACTAGGAAGGCTGCTTTTTCACCAACTCTTGTGAAATGATGGGAAGGAATTGGGGCATCCTGCAGTTCATCAAGGGTACCACCATCGCCAAGATGGTGCCTAGACTATACTTCGAAAAGCACTCCTGACCATCCTCTCCTTCTCTAGGGTACTTAATCTCCCCTGTTCAAAAATCCCACATTTACCCCAAGTCCAGGATCCATGTTGTCTTCTTCTCAGGTCTGTGTGCAGTTCTTGTAGTGTGCGTTATTTAGTTCTGGTGCTGTTGGGACTACAAGAGCTGTAGGCCCAAGCACCCACTTCCATTGAGAAAGTAGAAATCTTGCAGTGTGTTTGAAAGGCTCCCACCTGCAGTGTTATGTTGCTCTGGGGCAGTCTTTTTTTAAAGTCAGTTGCCTTGTGACTTGAAATTTGTGGACAAGATTCTATCAGCCCTTGCTCTTTCCCACCACTACCTCAGCAAACCCAGTCCTAGGTAAGATGTACTTAGGTTTGATATAAGGAGAATTTTTCTTACTGAGAGAGTTGTGAATCTTTCGTATTCTCTACTTCAGACGGCTTTGGAGGGTCAGTTTTTGAGTATGTGTTAAAAAGAAATTGATAGATTTCTGATTACCGAAGTCATACAGGATTTTAGAGGTGTGTGGGTAAAAGGCACTGAAATGTATGATCAACCATGATCATATTGAATGATGCAGCTGGTTTGATGGGCTGAATAGCTAGTCCTGTTCCCATGTTCCTAGTTCTATGTGGAAAAGTCACTCAATATAGTTTACCCCAGAGCAAGCAATTAATGGACAGAGGGTGGTCTCCCTGTGTAACAAAGGGTGGCAGGTGAGTTCTCAAATCTGGAAGGTCAATCAGCTACCTCGAAACCTGAAACAGCAGCAGGATGTAATGGACAGTCGGGAAGGGAGAGAATGTTTCAAAATAGAAGTGCCCTCTGTCTTCAAGAAGGCCTATGCCTGCCTAGGCATCCTCGGAGGGCTTCTAAATCTGCTTGAACTGCTGGATCTCTGACCAGCTGTTGGAATGTGGCCTTTGGGCAGCTAAACAAGTCCCTACCACCTGCAACAACCTGGAATTTGACTGACAATACAACCAAGTCAATCTGGAGTAGGATGGTGGCAACTGTCAGTTAATTGGTCATTGAACCACAAAACACCTACAGTGTGGAAACAGCCATTTGGCCCATCGAGTCCACACCAACCCTCTGAAGAGCAGCCCAGCCAGACCCACTCTGCCCTATTATATCCCTGTAATCCTTCATTCCCCATGGCTAATCCACCTAGCCTGCAAATTCCTGAACACTATGGACAATTTAGCACAGTTAATCCACCCAACCTGTGCATCTTTGGACTGTGGGAGGAAACCAGAGCACCTGGAGGAAACCCACACAGACACAGAGAACGTGCAAACTCCTCACTTAGTCGCTTGAGGCTGGAATCGAACCTGGGTCCCTGGTGCTGTGAGGCAGCATTGCTAACCACTGAGCCACTGTGCCACCCCCTTTACATCTTTAAAGTAACACCTCAGGGCTCATATGGTGCAGTGATAGTGTCCCTACCTCTGAACCAAGAGACCAAGCCTTGCTCCACAGATATGTAACAACATGTCTGAACAGGTCGATTAGAAAATAAAATCTTAAAAAAAAAAGTAAATTAACACTTCAATATGGGTATAAGTGAACCTTCGTATATAACTAATGAATGGGCTCTTGTGATGCAGCCATGTCCCTACTTCTGGCCAGAAGGTCTGGATTCAAGTCCCAGTCTCTATTGTAGAAGTGTATAATAATATCTATGACCAGGTTGATTAGGAAGTATCTGTAACTAATGACCATTAACTTATTTGAAAAAATATTGGTCTCAGTTTTAAAGTTGAGATTGTATTATATTGTTACATTTCATTCTATAGGAAGAGTATTGCTTGAAACTTTACTGATTTTATTAAATTATTAATCTTGATTTCCCGAATGAGCCGGTAATAAGACACTATGAATGGAATCTTATAGAGGCCTGAACGAAATTGGCTGTGGTAAGAAATGTGTAGAACCACATGTGAAATCCAATGGTGCCTTTACATTGGAAACAAGTTGCTGCAACTTTTAACTAAATCCCAGGAGTCAAGGTGAGATTCTTGTTAGGCAGCAGTGAGTTGTTTATAAAGGAGGATTATTGCTGGTTAACAACCTCATTAACTGCACATCTCACCCCATTAATAAGCAGCCTTTTATCTTACCATCCGCCACGTGCAAAATAGATGCTGAGAATTCTTGACATGGAAGTCTGAGTGGATGCCTGGTGACTCCAGCTCACCACTGACTGTGAATGGCTTACATGTTGGTCACCAAGCAATAGCATCTCAAGGCATGCTCAGTGGGCACTGGCCACACGCACCCTATATCCTAGCGACACTATGAACCCTCATGACACATCCCTCTTACAGAATGCTCTACACTTCAATGCTGCACCTGGGAGTGCAATAGTAAATATCAGTGCAAAGTTGCAGCAAGGACATCTTGTGTTCAGGTATATGCAGCCAGCTTATAGACTGGGCCAGGCTGCATCTCCAGGCTATTTGTTTGTACTCTTTGTGTTCACTCACTTTAAGCTAACCTGGATGCTCACAAATTGTGGCCTCTTCCTGCCATGCTTTGTACATTATCCCTCATCAAAAGATACCAAGCTCTGAGTACTGCAGTTTTGCCTTGCCATTTAGTGCAGATGCAAAGGCAGGAGGCTTGGCACGGTTGTCAATGAGTTAATTCAGGGGGTCCAGCACAGATCCAGGCGGAATGGTGGCTCAGAGGTTAGCATTATTGCCTCAGCGTGAGGGACCCAGGTTCGATTCCACCCTTGAGTGACTGTGTGGAGTTTGCACATTCTCCCTGTGTCAGCATAGGTTTCCTCCAGGTGCTCCAGTTTCCTCCCACAGTCCAAAGATGTGCAGGCTAGATGGGTTAGCCATGGGAAATTCAAGGTTACAAGGACAGTGTAACAGCAAGCTCTGATACTGGTCTAGAGGCTTGGACATAGTCAATCAGCTGTTCAGGATGGTCAGTGTCATGAACCTCTCTTCATAAGCCAAATGTTAGGCTGCCCACCAAACGTCCTGACTCGTTGTGCCTTATAATGGGCCGTTTTCCTTCTGGAATGAGAGAGACACAGATAGTATAGGAGATGCATTGACCTGGGTGGAAACTTCAGACCTCGTTGACATGGTGTGAGTCATGACCTCCTCTTCTGCACCTGGAGAAAGGGGGCATCCCATTTCATCTCCATCCCATTCACCAGGACCATCTAGTTCCTGTCCATAAAGCAAGGTGCCAACTTTGACCTCTGCCATGTCCAGGACAAATGTCAGGAATAATCTAAGGCAGCATTGACTAATAGTGTTTGCCCAGGTGCACAATGGCCTTTTAACGATGGCGCTGGTGCTAGGGATGCTGGCCAATTCCAGGATTTCTCAGAAGAGGCAAGTTATTCCAGGTAGGTTGAATGGTAGAATGGGGCTAGAAATGGGATGAGAGAAGTGCAAAGGGGTGTGGTATGTACTTAATGAGATAAGTCTGATTAGAAGAGGCAAGAATGCTTACTAGGCCTCATGGAGAAAAGCCCTTCATTAAACTTGACAAAACTGAAACTTAGCCAAAAGAAACCTGTAAGAATCATCCCTATGTGTTGTGGGATTGAGCAATAAGTACTGGATGATCTAAGGTTTGATTTCTAGCTTTTACAAAGTTAAGCAATCTCATCAATGACTGGTAATGCTGCATCAGTGGACTAAGGAGGGAAAGTAAAGAGAAAACTTTTTTTGCTCTTTGCTGAAACTCTGTTGAAAACGCATACATGGTCAGGTTTGGGAATGTTTGGGAATACTGAACAGAATGCCAAGAGAAGATAACACTTCTAGGAGAGGGCAGGTAACAGGAAGAGATAGTATTGACAGCAGGGTCTGAGTTTACTCATTTGCTCCCCCCACCCACACACAAAGCTAGCTGCTTTGACACTGCAATGTTACAAGTCATTTTAAAGTCAATATTTAAATGTAGACTACAAATTTGAGGATATAATTTAAAATAACCATCAAGAACTGGAAGCAGGTTCTCCCTTTCATTGTTTAAAGATGAATGCCACAATCTTCTCACTTTTATTTCAATTTGATGTTCCATATTTAACATACCAAATATATATCACTGGTCTCTTCTAAATAAAACTCAATAAAATCCTGTCAGGTAGCACTTACAAATATCAACTGAGGCATAAGCGTTATCATGAGGGCTGGCAATGTAAAGCTACTCTGTGCAATAAGCAATTTTATAATCCAACTATCTCAAAACACTTTTGACGAGAGGAATTAATGGCATTGCTCAACAGGAGATAGACATTAAAACACTAGATACACAAATAGAATCACAATTATTGACATGATAAGGCAAGAC